CTCTGGTCTGACTTGAGATGCAGATCAAAGTTTGGTGTAGCTTGGTAAGTTTTTTGCCCTCAGTGTTCTCTGGTTAGTATTGCTATATTTATCATACATCACACGTCCATATAAATGATTATTGAGAAAATCTTAGCCTTCCTTGAGATGGATATAACTCCAGATGAAGAATTTTAATCTTTGTGGGAGTCAAAAGGTGAAAGTTCTAGACTCCCTGATGCAAAATCATTTTTTTTTCAACCTGCACCAAACACAGAACAGCAGCAAACACAGTGGAGTATCTTACTAATTGATATTTCAAAAACAGTCAAACAAAGAATGATCATTTTAAAAACAACAAAAGCAAAACAAAAAACTTTTCACATTTGCTTTTCCAACAATGATGAGCAAACTAGTGCAAACTAGTGCATGCGTGGGCATCTTCAAACCTCAAAAAGCTGAAGAATGCATCTGAGTTCACTTAGCAAGTGTCAGAGAAAATGGAATTAGGCCTTAACTTTTAAGGCTTCTATTCTGCTATTCAGAGTTGTGATATTTTTCCTGGTATGAAATACAATTAACTTTTAGTTTCTTTCTTTTTTTTTTTGGTAGTATTTTTCTTATAGTCTACCCAATAATTCAAAATCACCAATGTTTTTAGAAGCTAAGTAAAATTCAGGTCCAGTTCATTTGACTACTATGGCTGAGGACAGGCTGACTTTCACTTGTGTGAATAGGGGAATGGTGTTTGATTGACTTTTAAGAGCCATTTACCACATAGCATTTAATACCCATGCATTCTGTTTCTCTTTCAGTGTTTGCTATTCAAATTTGCTGATAGCATTTTTCCTGCACGTGGTTTGTCTCAAATGCCCCTTGTTTTTAATAAACGTAGCAAACAGAATACAAAGGTAGTGAGGTTCCAGAGTTCTGGATACTAAGGAGAACCCTGGGAAAAAAAGGAAAAGGAAGAAAGGAAGAGAGGAAGGAAGGAAGGAAGGAAGGAAGGAAGGAAGGAAGGAAGGAAGACAGAAAGAGAAAGAAAAAGAAAGAAGTCATTTGGATTTTGAATTTCTCATTTGTTGTGTACGGAACACAATCTGTCTTCAGCTTGATGGGCTAACACTCAGATCTAACGCTAGTCTACTCCACATTTTCAGTAAGCAACTTGTGTTCTCGCATTGGTAGATGTCACAGGAAGAGACTCTTGGCGCACCTACGGCAACCTCACCCCCCTTGCCAAAGCTCTAAATGTGACCCTGCTATGTTCCCCTCTCCCAGAAGGAGAGCATAATTTCATTATCCATGAATCATCGCATCTTAGACTGTACCACCCTTGTCAGAGAGCCCAATAGCACCACTGTTCAGCTAGCTGCGAAAGAAGGAGGTAGAAAGCGCAGGGGCGAAGCACGGGTCACTGCCATGGTCAGCAAACCGGAGAGCAGGTCTCATGGTGAAGAGGAAGCCTCCCTCCTCAGGTGGCTCTGAGGTACCTACTGACCAGCAAGAGTTGATCCTGAGTCTCTCAACAGCAGCACAGCTGTGTGTTTTCCCCAGCCTGTTACGGTATATTTCAAAATCTTGACTACAAAAAATAGTAGCACCTTTAATGAAAACATTACAGACTATTTTGTTGAATATCGTTGAGTACAGATGCTTAAAGCATTTCTTGCCTGTTTCATTGGGCATTTATCTCTAATCCACAATACCAATATTATGGCCTTTTTTTCCTGTTATCACTGAGAAAATAAGTAAAAGCACAACACTTTGATGATATGGGTGATAATTGCACCTCACAGGAAAGTTAGCATTAACTATGATGCAGAGTAGAGAAACCTGTAAATTCAAAAAAGAAAAAGAGAAAAAATAAAAAATAAAAAGCAGCTAAAATTATTCACGGACAGCTGTAGTTACTCGAATGAGCCACTAGAGGACAGTGCTACTCTATAGAAATCAGCATTGCCAGCCTCTACCTAGTTGTCTCACCAAACCAAGTTTTTTTTTTTTTTTTTTTTTTTAAAGGTTGAAAATCTTTGGAAAGATGTCATGTCAACATCCTTGGAAGGTACAAAGTCATTTAAGACCAATATTTCTTGCATAACATTCCTTAAAAGTCCCCGGCTCAGAGCATTCCCTCTGTGCTGCTTCCACCCAATGTGCCCTGAGGTTGATAAACAAATGAGAAACAGACACAAAACACAAACGTTCAGTTCCAAAAACATAAACTCCATTTCCTCTCTGTTATGAGAAAGCGTTAAAGGTACCGAGGCTCCTGCATCCATGGGTCTCCACGGAGCAGCTCAACAGGTCAGGATGCTTCCTCAGATATTTTCTGTAGAGGGACGTGGAACAGTTCATGTAAATTTGCAATAGGAAAAAAAAAATACTGAATAGCAGGGATTCTTCTCCAATATGGAGAATTTCTCTCCATGGCATACAGTCTAGAAGTGCCACGGGGCAGACTCAAGGGCAGCAACTTCCTGTCAGGACAACACTTGCCACCTGGCTTTCTGATGCGACACAATGGTGAAGGAACAGCTCTGCCCACAGGCGTCACACCAGCTCTCTGGGCGTGCTGAGGGCGGGAGAAGCACAAAGGAGAAACCTACGTTTAAAACTTTTTCCCTTGCAATTGCATGCCCCGAACCGGGAAGTGTTTTGTCATTCTGAGGCATTTGCTTGTTTGTTTGTTTTTTATCAGTCAGTAAATCTGTAAGTAAAGCGAGGCATTAAAAATGACCAGCCTTCCAAATGTTGCTCATTCATTTAATCTTGCATCAGTTTTACACAGCAAGTGGTTTTGAATCTTAGGAATACTTTTCAGCACAGCAAACATGTTTTCTCTAGCTCTGTGGCTGTCACAGCTTTGATGACTTGAAAATACATGTATAGCTATCTGTTTGCCTTGGTCTCCCATGACAGAGAAGGCAGAGGATTAAGTAAGAGGATAGAATTGGGCTTCCTGTTTCCCCCCACTTCAACAACGCATTTAATTAATACAGTCATCTTCACAGTACTGATAAAAATGAGGCTGACCGAAGGAATAAAAAATTTATATGGAATATGTATTTACTGACAGTGTAGAAAAATGTAAAATTACAGTTTCAGTGAAAAGCACCTCAGCAATTTTGGTCACCCAGCTCAGGATACTGTAACTTGTGTCTGCATTGCTAATCCGCTGGGGCTCTGTGGCCATTTGGCATTAATAAATGCATACTCAGTGGTTAGCCATGGGTAAACATATTGTACTTGTGATACTTTTCTGAGCTGGTGCCTGGTCTCATCGTAGTACCTGATGATAAATCCTGCTTTTCCTTATTGCTAACAGAAGTATGGCTGTAATAATTTAGACCCCTTTCTATTATTTTTTCACTTTGGCTCGTCTACAATTTCCCTATCAGCCTATGAAAAGACCTCCATACTCTATGAAAAATGCTAGTTAGAAAAAGCCATTCACTTCTTCTTTGCTTTTATTGTTATTATTTTGCAGCAACTGTTTTGAAAGAATAGGGATGAGGCCTGGCCAGCCATATGGTGACCCATCCTTAATGTGAAAATCATTATGGTCTGCTCCCAGACTAAAACTGTTCATCTGAGAGGACAAAAGGGGGTGACAGAATAAATATATTTTTCTGAAGTCTCATAAATACAGAGGGTGTGATATCCGTGCTGCAGTCAACAGACTTTTACCAATGACATAAAAACATGCATGCAGCTTGCAGGCTGCCAAGCAGGCTCTTTACAGAATTGTACTGATGGATGAGTTACAATACAGATGAACACAGGGACACAGTGATGTCAACAACAGCAAAGCAAAGGCGAACTGTCACAGTGTCCGTCTCCCGCCCCCACAACCCCCACCCCTACCCCCACCCCCACCAGGCTTGATGTTACCAGAGCACCCTTTCTAAGGATACTGTTGGGAAAGCGTGTTCAGACACCTGAGTGAAGTGTCAGTCATTAGGGGTCTGGTGTGTGTAGAAGCCATCACAGGACAGAGTCACAAGCCTTGAACAGAGCAGCACTGAGCTCTGATTCTACTAACTACCCTGGGGTCTTGGAAAGGACTCTGCAAAGAGCCACATGCTGGTGAGGTCGCAGCTCCGTGCCTGTGAAAGAGTGCTTTACATTCCCAGCAAGCCTTATCTTGAGAAACTCCCTCATTTCCAGTGGGCAATCTGATGTGCTTATTTAATGGCTCGGTTGTGCAATGAATCAACATGTTTAGGGAACACACGGGCTGAAGGAAATTGGCAGTGAACCCTTTACAGGGACGGGGATCTGAGATAAAGCTGCAAGTCTCAGACTTTGGGTTTTCACTGTTTCCTTGTATTTTGCAGCCATCTGCTTTTGGTATTTTAACCTTTGACACTAGTCCCTCTTCTTGCCTTGCTGTAATTTCCGAACCCCTGGAAACCGCTCCACGATCTGCTCTAACCCACCACCCTCTGGGGATAGTTTTCTGGGATTTTCTTTGAAAGGCAGGCATTGTTTCTCATCCCCAGTCTCTGTAGTGTGCTATAATCAAGTCATCTCCTCAGATTCACTCAACCCTCCAAGGTCCTGGCATCCTCCTCATTTCCCCCCTGGGTTTGCTAAACCGCAAACCACCTAAAGCTGAACATTTGAGCCCCCCAGATGGCGAAGAAGAGCAAGTGTGGGGAATCACTCAGGAAAGAAGTTTTTATCTGGAAACAAATGTAATGTTAATGAAATCCATAAAGGGTTTCATACAATAGGCATGGTGTTAAACCAAAGTCCCAGCTTCACATTGATTGTGGTATTTAAATTTCAATGGGTTGATTATTTATGAGAGGAAAATGAACAGTATTATGAACACACTCTAAGGGACAGGGGAGGCCCTTGCCAGCACAGTGAGAGGGAGGGGGAGGGGAGAGGCACCGTGTTCTGATAGTCAGCAGAGTTCAATAAAGCACCACTTATTTCCTAGCTGTTAAGAGCGCTCTCCCTGTTTCTTCTCTCTCTATCTCTCTCCTTTTTAAAGTCGCAACGGTTCATACCTCACATTCCCTGGAGCCTGATTTGCTATAGGTGCAGGGTCCCGTTCCGTTCAGCAGCATCTCGCTGGTCTCCGTGTTGGTGGGTTTATAATCTACATAAAATTCCTGGGTGCCTGGAGTCATCTGCTTGAGCGATTGCCGTTTCTTCTTCCGGTGCCTTCGCATGAGGGAGCGCTGCTGCAGCTGTTTCATGCTGGCAGGGTACCGCTTCCAGGACACATACATCACCAAGAGGATGACCAGCACCGACAGGAAAAGGGCCACACTGCCCGCGATGATCTTATGGAAGGAGATGTGCTCCGTGTCCACATCTGTCTCTGGGCTGGGCTCGGTAGCTCCCACCGTGGGGGGCGGCGGAGGTTTGCTCTCGTGCTTCGGCCTGGGGAGCTTGGGTTTAAACGTGGGCTTGGGGAGAGCCCTGGCCAGGTCAAACCTCTCCGTGGTGGTGCTTTTGCCACAAATGCTGTAGTTTTTCACTGCGTCTATCACGTTTACTCCCTGCAGCTCTTTGGGACTGGCGCAGATAATTGTATTCTCTCTCAGACCTTTAAAACTTTTCAGCCAGTTTACCAGGGAGCAGATATTCCTGCTGCATTCCCATATATTCCCGGCAAGACTGATGTCATTGAGAGAGATCCAAGAATCCAGAATCTCTTGACCAATAAACGTGAGCTTGTTGGAATCCAGGTTGAGGCGTTGCAGATTGGGGACGCACTGGAAGACACTGGGTCCACTGAAGGCTTCGATCTCATTTCCCGACAGGTCCAGCCTTTGTAAGGAGCTCCAAGTCCAGGACATGGTTTGTCCTATGACACTGATTTTATTCCACTGCATGTACAAGTTCTGAAGGCTCACCAGCCTTGGGAAAAGGGCCAGGTTGAGCTTGGAAAACTGATTGTGCTCTAGGTGAAGTTCTTTGAGTCTGATCATGCCAGCAAAGACGTTTCTGGCCAAACTTCGGATCCTGTTGTATCCCAGGTCCAGGAGCTCCAGGTTGCGACAGTCTTGGAAGATCCGCACAGGGATGGTTCTCAGTGAGTTGGAGCGGAGGTGTAAGCTGAGCAGCTTCCTCAAGCCCCGGAACTGTTCAGATCCCAGAGAATGGAGCTGATTGTAGGACAGATCCAAGTTCCGTAAATTGGTCACAGGTCTGAAGGTGTTGTTGAGGAAATAGGAGATTCTGTTGGAACTCAGAATCAATTCTTTGAGTCTGCGTATCCCATTGAAAGCATTCTCGTCAATATTGCTGATGTGGTTGTGGTCTAGGTAGAGCCAGGTGAGCTGATTGAGCCCTTTGAATTGATTATACTTAAGTTTTTGGAGGCTGTTGTAGCGAAGGGATAAACCCAAGCAACCGGCAGATATACTTGAGGGTATCTCCTGCAGTTTCTGAGACTCACAGTATACCATTTTGCCTTCGCACCTACAACCCTTTGGGCATCCTCGTTCAGCAGAAGAAAGCATTGTCAGTAAGACAGTGGGGGCTAGAACCAGTGCTACAGCCGATCCGCGCAGTAGCCTAATTACATTGAAACCTGGAAATGAAAACAACTCAGAAAAGTTATCCCTCCAAAAAGGATGCATTTTTAAAAATCAAGCAAAAAGTAGCCACCTATTTTCACATTCAGAAATGTAGGCATTCAGAGACCATTTAGCACCAAATATCATTCTGTAATATACATTTCTAATGGTTAAACAAGGGATGTGTTCACTCATCATCGAATTTATAGTCTTGGACCAGAGAAACATAATCATTAAAACAATTAAATCAGATTTATTACATAGACTTAGAGGATTTTTTTTTCTTTTTCTTTTTAAGAAGGAAAGAAGAAAAAATGACAAAACATACCCATCCTTTGTACTGTTCAAAGGTCGTCCTTAGGTCTTTCGCTTTGGCTTAGGGGCCGCCCGCATGACAGCCCCTGTCAACCGCAGTGTAGTGAGTCAGGGCTCGCTGACACCCAGGAAGAAAAATTGGACCCCTTGGGAGATGGACCGATTTTGGAACATTATTCTTTACCATGCAGAACACTCCAAGAACAAATAAATCCCAACACCGCATTCGCAGCAGAACATCCGAGTCTTCCTAGGTAATAGGATCTTCATGGATATTACGTTTTTGCATCTTTACAGTGTGTGTGTGTGTGTGTGTGTATGTGTGTGTGTCAAAAAAAAAAAAAGGCTTCTACAATTTCTTCTTAAAAACCATGATGTATTCCTCCAGGCAACGTGGGGCTACCTGTACTGTCCCATCTGTATTCCATAGCCCGGCGGTCGGTCCCGCGGTGGTGAGCACCCAGTTCAGCCGCGGAGCTGCGACGGAGCCCAGGAGGCAGGAGAGCCCGGTTCCGCGCACACGCTCAGCTCACTCCTGCAGTCATTCTGAAAGCCGCTCGGACTGTTGCTTCGGTTTCAGTGAATGCAGTCTTATGTAAAGCTGCCCCCAGTGGTGAGCGGCGCTGTGGGCATGTGCAGAGCCGGCTCTCTTTTATCTTGCAAATGAGCAGGCTGTGCTGGAAAATGAATGATTCTTTTGGGTGGCTCGATAGGAAGTGAATGGTCAACGCAATCAATAACCAGCAACATTTCCCGTGATTTCCAAGGCTTGTTTTACAATTTGGCAACGTCTGTCCTGTCTGCGTCTGCTTGATCGCCAAACATGTGCTTCTCAGAGTTTTTTTTTCTGGAGCTTGACGTTAAGTTCACAGACCGAGTGTCAATTTTTCTTAACCTCAATGTAAGGCTTTGAGCTGAAATTTCTAAAATGAGTTATTGAGCTTTTCACAAAGCTGCATTAAGAGCTTGCCTGTTTGACCTCTTGGAGTCACAGTGATCACATTATGCAAGGTGTCTCAGCCTGCTGGACTAGATCGGCTTTGCAATAGAGGGGCTGACTAACGACATACAAATTAATAGGCCTAATGGCTTCTCTGATTTCCTCACAAAAGACATAATTGGTTTAATGGTTTATGACTGGGCTTGTTTGGGTTGCTTTGGGGAGCCTTTTTTGTTTTGTTTTGTTTTGTTTTGTTTTATCAGAAGAGGAATAAACCATTTTTAGTGCAAGCATGAGAACCCAAAGATCATTTGGTTCCTATTTTATTGATGTTGCTTCTATTTATTACACTAATGATATTTATTGAGTGCTTTCTAAGTCCTTTAAATGAGTGGATCATCCTGTTCTCTCTGTCAACAGCAGCAGTATGCTGGTCTCACTGTAATCTACATTTCAAAGGTGACGGACCTGGACTTAAATGGGTCACCTGCCCAAGGCTACAGAATATAGCAAGGAAGTGTTTACATGCAGAACCAAGCCTGTCTTCTGCTGCTCCACCAATCGTTAGTTCCTTTTCAGTGGTACTGCTGTGCTCACTGGTGAAACTAAGACAGGCAAAGGTGGAGATGCTGTACAGAGCTCATTCTTGTTCTCTACAGTGGGGCCCTGTGAGTGTCCTTTGTCTTGAGAGAAGTAGTCTGGGAAGTAAGGAGAAAACAGCTGCTACTCTCCTAAGAACACTCATCCTTGCTAAACTCACCAGCTGCGTCACCTCGAGCAGCTCACGTGCTTCCGTTTTCTCACCTGCAAAATGGACACGATGGTAAAATTACATCATAGGCACATTTTGAATAAAGTTACATTTTTGTCTAGGATTGCAGTACTGGGGATTGAACATGGAGCCCTGAGCTATACAGCCTCAGCCTTGTGTCATCTTGATATCTTAAAGAGCTTACTTCCATGTGTATCGCATAAATTGAACAATTGTTATCTCGCTTCCATGTGCTGGTGTTGCTTTTTTAATATTGAATATTGACAGTGTTAACTGTCCGAAACTCACGAGGAACTGCTCCAGTGAGCAGTTTTTGTAATATAACCAGTGGGAAAAGTTCATGTATCTTCATCATTTCTGTGTTCTCTTTTAAAGTTGATGTTTTATTTCTACGAACTATGTCTTATAACTAAAGCTTGATGTTCCTCTGTCCCAAAGCAAAGCCTACCATCTGACCTATGGAATTTGCCATTTTCAATAATTAAATTTTTTTCTGTGGAGTATTTGCTTTGTTCATATTAGGCACATTGGCTGTATCTCAATCAGGAAACACTTTGTTAATATCCAGGGCTGAGCAGTTTGGCACATGCTAATCATGAGAATCAAAGGAGCCACAGGCAAAGGCTAGTTCCTTCAATATTGTGCAATTGATGGTGTAGTGGTTACCTGGAACTTATACATGTTTTGACTTATATGAAATGCTCAGACAGTTTATTAAAAACATTTCCTTTTCTATTCCCAATGTTTCTGATTCAAGGGCCGGAAGAGGTTGTGTTTTGCTTTTTCATTGAGAATTTCATCATGCATATACTGTATTTTGGTCAAATCTGCCCTCCATAGTCCTTCCAACCCTTTTTGATTCAATTTTATATGCTCATGTTCTCTCTCTCTCTCTTTTGCTCTCTCTCTCTGTAAACAGAGTCCACTTAAAGCTGCCTGTATGTACCTGGGTCTAAGACCATCTAATGCTGTATCGAAAAAGTAAACTTTCTTATGGATGTGGCCACTGAGATGGGTTTTTTTTTGATGGTATTTTTCTGACAAGTATATTTAAGAAACTCACTAAGAAGGAATAATTACCAAAAATAAGTGCTCTCTTAATAGGAGAGAGAATGAAAATGTCTGACATTGTGATATGCCTTTTAAGAGATCACGGTCTGTTTCTCAGTTATTTTAACACTACCGTGCTGGCGTATTTTAGGTTTGTAATATATTTCATAAGTAAACACAACAGTCGTACAATAAGCTTATATGTAATGATAGTCTTTTTATATTATAAAAGATGCTGAAATTTGTTATTATGTGTTTTTGGTAGTATGCATTAATTATACATAGTTTAATGATAATATTTTTATACTTGTACATGATATGTGGCAGTCATATTCACCCTGTTACTCTATCTGTGGAACCTAGTTCCTTGTTCCCCTCTCTTTTCCATCTTTAGGCTCTGACAAGCATCTAACAGCATGCATGTGTTTTGAGTGGCTCTGAAAAGTCGGTCTGCTTCCTAGGTCTGGAGGGGAAAGCCAGTACAGGCATCCGTGGCACTCAACACGAAGCCATATATTGCACCTGGTTGGCTTGCTCTTTTCCTGGGTCTACGACCAGGCCCCAGGGAGAGTCTGTACCAGGATGACATCAGGGTGGGAGAGTTCAAGTCTCTAGAAGGAACAATATATACAATGCTACTTTTACACACTCCTTGTTGAGTCTAGAAATCTCCTCTATTAGTGAGATTGGAAATAATCTCAAGGAAAGTACTCTTAAGTGATATGTGTAAAAGGTGGGAGCATGATAGTTGGCAGGTATTCCCTCTTCACGGAGACATTTCTTATCTTCATAACTAAGCCATAAGTTTCCCAGGAATAGTAAATATGCTTTAAATATTCCACTCAGCACAGTGCAGAAGGATAACACTAAGTCTTTATTATCTAACATCCCAAATGGGACTTCACAACTTGCATGTCTCAAAAAAGCCTAAGGGGAATCATATTTATAGCTTCTTTCTCATTTCTCTGCATTGAAAGCCTCTGATTTTCCTGCTCACCCTTCCTCCTTCTCATCGGGAAGTTGCTATCAAGACATCTTTTTGGCTAACAGCTGCACAGGGCCATTCACTGGTCCATGTGCCTCACACCCTTGTGACAGAAGCACAAGGGGGACCAGGGGAATAGAATCACCTCATGTCACTTTTCATGGGACAAATGTGCTGGGATCATTTACCGCAAATCATATTGACTTGTATTACACACCCTTATCCTTAATTTTCAGGCATTTTCCTGATATCTTTGCTCCCCATCTCGTCTTGCTTCACGGTTCTGATCTCATGCTCCTTCCCTGGCTCTTGAAATTGTTCTTCCCTTTAACGCCTGTCTATTTCTCAGGAGTATTCTTGCCATTCTTGCATCAAGGCACTCCAGACAGCCCCTCCTTCAGCAGCAGCTCTTAAGTTGGAATCTCTCTAGGTTTGTTCTGGTTCAAGGTGGCACAGTTCCTGAAGAGGAGAATTATCAGTAAGCTTAGCTGAAAAAAAAAAAAGAACCCCAAATGAAAACCGTAATTCAAAGCCATGTTCTCATCACTTAAGGCTGTGGAAATTATTGTAAAGAAACTTAGCAGTCATTCAGAAGGAAAAAAAAATACTGTATTTTAGAAAATTTTACTAATTTTTAGAGTGTTTTTCAGAGTTTATCCTCTTTTACTTGTTGACTGAAGCCAGCTGATTGTTTCTGTCCTGCTTTTCAACACAAAATTATGCCCTATTATGTGCTTAGCAACTTCCTTTGCAATCGCCACCACAGAGAGGACTAACCATAAACTACCCAACAACTTAAATTTCCCCAATGCATCTCAGGCCTTATGATTTATACAATTATAAAACATGGTGTCATCTATCTAAATACTTTATTGAACTTATGTTACTTTGAATAGCTAAACATATTTTGTTTAAATTGAGTAAATAAATCAAGTGTCTATATACAATGCCAAATTTTAGTCCAATACGAAACCAGACTGCCAAATATAAAGATGTAAAAAATGAGATTGAAATAGTGTATCTTCAAGGCAACTGCTTCAGAGATTTCATTGATTTGTCAAAACTAGTCCGAATACTATTATGTACTGAACACTGTTACAAATAGGTGGATATCAGTGCGCACAATAAAGGTCTGTTCTGCATGAAACTTACATTTGAAATGAATGAGACAGACACTATGAATGTAAACATGGGTAGGATGTCAGTCATGATATGCTTTGAACCTGAAACATGCCCATCAGCTCACGAGTTTTGAGCACTGTTTCCCTAACTTGTGCTGCTGATCAGAAGACCATGGAAGCTGCAAGAATTGAGACCTCTTCCGTGAAAGCAGGTTACCAAATTTAGGATCTTGAAGGCTATAGGCCAGCTTTTCCCTGCATCCACTCTTCTTTCTAGTCTGCTATGATGTGATGAACCTCTTCCACGGGCTTCCCCGCCGCAAAGTCTGCCCTTCCCACCAGATAGGCTGAGACCCTTTGAAAATGTTAAGCCCAAGTAAACACTTTTCTCCTAGAAATAGTTCAGTTGGAGGTATTTTGTCACAGTAAAGCAAATATTAATATGAATACATAACTTGGACTTTGGAAGAAAGAAAAATGTAAGGATGGTTGGGTGTATAAGAAAATATATAGGATTTTAAACAGGGTGGTTAGGGATACTGGGAAAATGGCTTGAGCAAACTGAAGAATGGGATGGGCTTGAAACTGAATGAGGGTGAGGAATGGCTCCTACAAGCCCCAAAGTGGAGACGGATTACGTGTTTGATGGATTTCAAGAAGGACAATCAATCTAGAGCAG